TTGTAGGCTATCCCTTGAAATCATTAATTTACAACATAGTACCTATTTATTACCTGCCCGGGCTTTTTTTTTATGCCCAAGTACATAACTGGCTAAGCTTTCCCCACATAGTTCAACCTTTTACCATTAGCCATTGGGATTGAGATTTGTGCATTCAAGATATTTACAAGTTCTTTAGACCGTCATCCTTTCCATAATAATGAAGATTTTAGAGGACAACTACTTTAAGTATAATTAAGAAACTTGTATCCACTAAATTGTGATCCTACTAATTGGTGCCCCAGAGGGCAAGATAGAAGATGAGCTACATATAACCTTTTCACAAGAAGGTAAATTTTTTTCCAAGAAAGCATCCATAATGGTTATTTTATAATTTTTATAGTGCAATTTTACCTTGTATTTTTCAAGAGTATTTTTTATCTAGCATTTTAAAGGACACAAAACACAATAATTCTTTAAATTGAAAAATCTACTCTGAACGACATACTACTACCTGTATGATAGGCACAAATTAAATGACGATACAACTTCTTAAATTTAGTGATTTTTGTATTTATATTTATCGTTTAAACATGTCTCGATCTTCAATCTCCTTTTTTTTCTTAGGTAAACTCTTTTTCCTTCTTTTGGTAGAAAAAAAAAAAGCTTAGAATAAAGAAAAAAACTTGACACAGCATGTGCACAAAAATTTGTAGTACATTATAAAACCACATAAATTGTTATTAGAACTTATCTAAAGTACCACACAAAAAATCTCCCCCATCTCCCCCCCAATGTCGCCCCAACATCCCTCCAATCCCTAAACTCCATCTCCAAGAAAACCCCACCATCCATAAAAACAGCTCAAGATTTTGACCCTCTTTTTTTATTTCAACAAAAAGCACCGGCCCACCAAATCAAGGTGCGGTCACACACGCGCAAATCATATCAAATCAAACCGCCCATACAAAACTATATAAGCAAAAATTAATTGAACCCACCTGAAAGAAGAGTTAGTATTGGCTTTCCAGTTAAAGAAAACTTGAGGCGGTGTTTACCATTGGCTGCTCCATCCCACGCCACTACGCCACCTTCTCTCTTCTCCTTTCCTATTAGTACCAGTTTACCATTTCTTCCTCCTTCTCCTTCTTCTCCACGTAAAACCCAGAAATCAATTCTCCTCCTAATTCCAAGAAGGATCACATTTTTCTTTTTCTTGTTTTTGGAATAGTAATACATATCCACAATCCATATATTTCCAATTTAGTGTTGGGTAGGAAAGTTGTTTCCTTTTTTGTACCCATAGAAACTTGATCTTTATATAGTGTTGAGAGTTCTGAAGGTGAGCTGCTTATTCTACAGAGTCCCCCAAGATCAGTTTTTTTTTTTTTGGGTTCTTTTCTTTAGCTGAAAACTTGTTTTAAGATTTCTTTGCTTTCTTATTAAAGATCTCGGAGAAAAATTGTGCTTTTGAGATTCTGTTTCTTGCAAAATAGTGGTAAAGATTATAGGTTCTTTGTCTGTCTTTCTTTTTTGGTCGTCATTTGTGAATATTCTCCAACTCTGCAGAAGTTCTTTTTTTCCGGAATTCTTGCAAGCATTGATAGCTTTGCGTAAGAATTCAATTCCAAACAGAGCTTTGATTTGATTACTTGTATAGTTTTTGGTTCCAAAATGGTTAAAGTTCAGAATTTTTTGCTTCCTTCTTGGTTTTAGAATTAAGAACTTTTATTAGGCCAATTCGTAGTTTTCTTCCTCAAGGCGGTTTTTCCTGATTTTTAGACCAAGTTAGTTGCTTCTGCCTCACGGCTTTGACCAATTCTTGCACAACAAATATGTCGGTTATGGAGAGTAATCTGCAGCAAAGTCGGTTTCTTGCTGTCCCTCTTAAGACTAAAGATGAATATCCCGATGGGTTCATGGCCTTAGCTCCAGAAAACAGCAGAGTTGATCAAGAAGAAGATATGATCAGCTCAGAGCCTAATAATGCTGATGATCAAGACATGGTTTCTGATTGTGAAAGTAGCACCACCAACGAAGAGGGATTGGGAATATTTGGTGATTGTTTTATCAAGGTTGACGAAGATGATAAGCAGCATGAATTTATCAAGCAAAGATTTGTTTCGAGCTTGACTGAACGGGGGCTTACGCATACTCAAATTGAAGCTATTCACAAGAATGCTTGTTCTAGCTGGACAGCTCGAGCAAGGTTTATGTCTTTTTCCATCTTTTCTCGAGCTTTACAGAAGAAAACTGAAGGCCATCCTAATGTGAAGTATGCTTGGTATGGTGCTTCTAAAGATGAGATCAGAAACATATTTCTACATGGTTTTGGTAACACTTTAAATGATGGAATTTATGGCCGTGGAATTTATCTTTACCCTTCTGATTCTCTTCTAGAGAGGTAATTTTCGGGAATGGTTGTTTGCTTGATTTAATCTGTCAAAGGGATTTATCATTACCCTTCTGATAAATGCTGTCTTTGCAGTATTCAATCCTCAGTTGTTGATGAAGATGGGCTCAGGCACCTAGTTCTTTGCCGTGTTGTATTGGGGAGAATGGAGATTGTTCATCCTAATCAATCTCATCCCAGTTCTGAGGAGTTCGATTCAGGGGTTGACAATTTATTGTCTCCTAGAAAATATATTGTTTGGAGTACTCACATGAACAATCAAATATTCCCAGAATATGTTGTCAGTTTCAGACTCGCATCCAACTTGAAAGGTAAGTAATTTTTAATGGATTTGGAGTTTCTGATGCTGTTAAACAACGCTAAGGTTCTGATTTTTGGCGTTCTTTACTTGCAGGATGTCAAAGGATTTCACCTCCCCTCAAGATGCCTAGCTCACCTTGGATGCCTTTTCCAACATTGATAACTGCACTTGCAAAGTTCTTGCCGCCTAATAGCATCAAAGCGATCCAAAAACATCACAGTGATCATAGGGTAAGTGTCTGGCATTCCTTAGTCCCAAATTCTTGAGTACTCTGCATTCTAAACTATGCTCCGGTTGTCAATTTTGGAATTTCAGGAAAAGAAAATCACAAGACAAGAATTGATACAGCGAGTTAGACGAATTGCAGGAGACGATTTGTTGGTGGCTGTCATAAAATCCTTTAGAGACAAGGTCTGACTACATGCAATTAGTTAATGGGATTGCTTTATTTCCCATTCTTTAGGATTACTTCCCTATATCCTTGTAATCTTTCTTTCGAGATTTCTGCATCGTATATGAATGTTCCGGGATCATGTTTGCACTTGTAGTTTTGGCTTTGCACCTGATTGTTTATTACAATTCTGGTGTGGTTTGCTCATGTGCAATAGATGATTGTTGCCTAAGTTGATTCAAGATATTCAAGTTGACAATTTGGAAAATAACTTCTGTCAAAAGCGTTGAGGTCCACTTCGTTCTTGGCTTTTGAGCCATAGCAGGATAACTTGCATGAGATGAGAATAGATCTGCTCTTGTTTTGGTGGTTGAGTTAAATTTGGTAGATCCCTTGAAGATACAAGGTTGATCTACAATTTTTTCCCTAGAACCAGAAAAGGTTCTTCCAAAGAAGCCATGGTAAACTGCAAGTCAAAATTGATTTTAGCTTTGAATGTAGTCATTCCAGTCCGTCTACTATTGGAACAGACGAGAAGAAAGATCCGAGTGGCCTTTGAGAAAAAATGCTACACAACCTGATCTTGTAGCCAAGTTGTAGGCAAGTTGCAGTGCATCTTGTGTCAATTTCCACCTGTTGTAGTGCTGCAATCCTCGTAGGGAGTTATGGGATTTTGCATATTCTGTTATCCTTCTCAAAATATTTTTCATATCATTAAAAAAGAAAAGAATTGCCTAAATAAATGAAAAGATCAAATCCAATACATGATCTCTCTCTCTCTCTCTCTCTCTCTCTCTCTCTCTCTGTATAGCTTCCAATTTATATGCTCGTATTCGTTTCTTAAACTGAAAGTTCCTTAATGTTGTTACAGATGGATACATCAATGGTATTTCCGCCAAGCAAGAAGCCAATCAAGTGCCACAAGCAGCGTGGAAGAGCTTGTGGTTGCTCCAAAAATTGAAGGCTTCAAACTCTTTTAGAAGGCAAAATGGATGCTTCAGAGTTCAGATATAGATACAACTAACCTCATAGGCCTGACGACTTAGAAACAACATATGTGCAGAAAATAGCAGAGGAATTTCTTAACCATATAAGCACTCTTTCTTTCATTTTGCCTTTTTCTGGTTTTTTTGTTGCAGTCCATCATCATTACAAAGTTGTTGCCATAGCAATTTGGCTCATCAGCAATGAAAGTTGGTTCTCTTTCATAATGGATTTGGAATTTGCAAATTCCTGTGCCATTGCATCTGTTCCATCATCTGCATCATGACAGCTGAGAGCATTTTTGATGGCTAGAAATGGACCAATTGGCTCTTCAGAGTAGTCATGCATATTAAAACTGTGGGCAGTGACATCAACCTTTTGTCTTTTCCTGGACCACAGTGAATTTAGGAGCTAGTAATACTTTCTGTAAACATCAATAAGATAATAAAAAGGGGAAAAAAAAAAAAAACAAAGCTGAAGAAAGAAGAGGGAAAAAAAGGAGATGAAACAAAAATCCCAATCTATAAACGATTGGGAGACCAATTGGTTCTTCAGAGTAGTCATGCATATTAAAACTGTGGGCAGTGACATCAACCTTTTGTCTTTTGCTGGACCACAGTGAGTTTAGGAGCTAGTAATACCTTCTGTAAACATCAATAAGATAATAAAAAGGGAAAAAAAAAAAAACAAAGCTGAAGAAAGGAGAGGGAAAAAAAAGGAGATGAAACAAAAATCCCAATCTATAAACGAACTTGGAATTACTAAAAGTAGACCTCACCAAAAATGTTCAACGTTTATTTTGTGTTTAAAGTGATTTGAATATGTAAATAAAAGACTAGCAATTTGTTTAAAAAGATAAAAATGTTCTTGAACGATTGTACGCACTCACAATTATTCCTATCCTTTGAAATCTCGAAATGATAGAACTATATGGAACTTTGCAAAGTTAACAACTTTTCTTGAAAACAAAAATTGAAATACACAATCAACTAGCTAAGTTAGGCACCTCAGATTGAGCTGTGCTGATGGGCTGACAATTCAAGCTGTAAAAGCATATTCTTGAAGAAAAAAATGTTGCAATTTAAAATCCACGGCCAAAGCTTTTTTGGTCTAAACTATTCCGTCTTGTTGCAGAGGCATGCCAGACTAGACAAGGCAACGCCCACCAAAGTTTGCCCACTTGAATATTTCTTTGCCATTTGATTGCTCTCTGCAATTTGCAGCTGCAACAGCCAATCCCGTGTTCATACCAATACCAAACCATGCCTAGCAGTTAGCAGACTTCGGCCACTTGAATATTTCCGTGTGCACATAATTTGGTCAAAATTGGTATGGAATAGAACAAAAGAGCAATTCAAGTAATTGAATTCCAACTTCCAAGCTTCGATTGATTATGTCCTCTTTCTATTTGATTGCAATTCCTAAGACAGAATCAAAGATGATAATTCGATGTGGGATTAGGGTGAAATCCTCTACACAAAGGGTTTCAAAGAATTTATCTTGCAGTTCCACAGAATACAGACATGTTTTGAATCCATCCGATTCTCATGAAAGAACCAAACACAATACTATTCTTGAGATGAGCATAAGGTCAGCAAGTCAAAATCCAAAATATTAATCCGCAAGAATTATTTCACCTCTCCTACGTGGTCAGATCAATTTCACTCTCGAAGTTGGGAAGAATCACCAGCTTCGAACAAGCTTATGCCATCCATGGAGATTACATGAGTTAACCAATCAATCCCATTGGTCCTGTAATCAGCATACAGCCATGATCAGTCAAACTAATGCAGCTGAGGCTGCAAATAAGATGGAGATAAGACTCTGAACAGATGAGGGGATGTTCGTTCTTCTTCAACTGGTTTTCAAAGTAAATAGAACTATTAATTTCAAAATATGAGACATGTCTACATATTTGCTCATTTGACCTTTTCCCACCTTTCTCCACCACCCCTCAAATCGATATAAACAGGAGCTTGCCGACTGATTGCTCATAAAACCTATGCAACTAAAATCTTGTGACACTGAAACAATTTGATCCGAGTAATGCTGCAGATTTTCCCAAGTGTTGATGTATATAGCTATTGCGAGCAAAAAATATATATATACACTACGTCCCAAGAAGGAAGGAATAACACCCACTTATATAACTGGCAATCTGATTAAAAACCCAGGACACTGTTATAGAAATTTTACACATTTTGTCAAAATAAATGACATACTAGTATAAATTTTACACACTTCGTCAAAATAACATACTAGTAATGATCATACAATGTTCAATAGTTATAACTACGAGATGGCAAGCATCACTCGTATTTGGAAATTTTACAACAAAAGAATTCTGATTTCCAACCTCTTTCAATTTGTTCTATGCATCTTGAAGGAAATGAGACTGTGCATGTCCCCCCTAGATGAAATGGAATAGAAAAACTTAAAGTCAGGAAAATCTCAGCCTATTGAAAACTCAAATACGTTAGCCAATCCCGAACTTAATGTAAAAGAACATTGTTGCATGACAACATAATGGTTCTAGTCAAAATGTACTATGACATTATGCAAATCAAGTCTGGAACTTTTAGTTACTTTCTTATGCTTCAATCAAGATAAAGTTTACCCAATCATATTCCACTGACAGAAGAAAGAACTTTTCCAACATAAGATGAAAAGCTTTTCAGCCAACGGTGAGAGTTTCTCAGCTTCATTACTTCTTAATGACCAGAAGTGGAAGTGGATATTTGTTAATGCTATCCCATCAGTCTGCTAGATGCCTTTGACCACAAAGATGTGATCTTGTAACAATTCAACCACAATGATTCAGCTTAACAGCTAATGGATATCAGTAATTGTCTTTCTTATTGTTCTGGTCTTATGAGCTACTTTTCCAGGTATCAAGTGACCTGCTCGCCTGTGATTTCAAGTGTCTTTGAAAGTCCCCTACCTTATAAACTCATAAAACTCTCTGATTTGATGATCCAAGATGCCCAATGTCTCATAAATAACGCATCGATGCGGGTGAGAATAGTCTCCAGCTAGAAATTCGTTTTTCCTATTCTCTACTTCAATCCAACTGCAACCAGCCGGCTTCTTCAGATCTCTCAGCCTCATCAGCTTCCTCATTTTCAGGACATTTTCCCAACTAGAATTCGAAGCGTATAAGTTTGACATAGCTATGTAGTTTCCAATATCACTTGAATCGATTTCAGAAAGGCGATCAATGACGGAACGTGCCATTTCAACCTCATTGTGGATTTTACATGCCCCAAGCAATGCCCCCCATACATTGGCATTAGCCTTTATCGGCATTTTGGTCGCAAATGAATATGCTTCCTTGATTCGACCTCCTCGTGCAAGGAGATCAACTAAACAGGCATATTGCTCCATACTTGGTTTCATGTGGTGCACCTGTTGCATGGACTCAAAAATCTTCAATCCTTCATCCACAAGACCAGTATGACTGCAAGCAGATAGGACAGTGGTTATGATAACATTATCTGGTCTCAGACCTGACTCAAGCATGTGATAGTAAGCCCCAACAGCTTCTTCACCCATTCCATGCATGGCATATCCTCCAATCATTGATGTGAACAGAACAAGATCCTTTTCACCAGCCGACTGGAAGAGATTATATGCAGATTTTATGTTTCCACATTTTGAGTATATGTCTAAGAGAGCTCCCTTAAGATGAACATCTGCAAAACAAGCCCTTATCACATACCCATGGCACTGCCTCAGCATATTGACAGAGGCTAATTTAGCACATACAGGAAGAAGGCTCATGATGGACATGGAATCAGGCTTTACACCACAAAATTGCATCTCATGAAACAGACTGAGAGCTTGACTAGGACAATCATTTTCAGCATAAACTCGCACCATGAGATTCCATGTGGTCAGATCCCTCTCTGACATGCTGTGGAATATCAATGCTGCATCTTCATGTGAGCCAAATTCTGCATATCCTGAGATCATTGAATTGTATGTAACCAAATTTTTCTGTCCTGACATGTGTTTGAAAATTCTGTATGCATACTCCAGGTTGCCGCACTTTGCATATGCATCAAGTAGTGCATTCGCAAGAGTCGGTTCTTTATTACCAAGCAAAATGCCATACTTTATAGAAAAACCATGAGCTTCTCTGACCTTTTCTATCCTGGACAAAGTAGTAAAAAACTGTATTACTGTTAACATAGTAATAAAATCAAGCCTCATTCCTTCCCTCAACAGGCAGTGCAAGAGATCAATAAATTGAGTTTCATATTTATTCTCACTAAGAGCATCCAATATGGAGTTCCAAGATATCAAATCTTTCCTAGATATCAACAAGAATACATTCAGTGCAGCTTCTTTGCAGCCACAATTGGAATAAAATCTAATTAGGGCATTCTGTACAGATGTATCCTTGCATAACAGAGAATGACGAACAACATATCCATGGATTTGCTTTCCAGCCTGCAGATTAGATAACTGGCCACATGCCGGAAGAACACTGACTATGGTGATAGGGTCTGGTCCCATTACATCCATGTCAACAAGTTCATGAAACAACTCCAGTGCTTTCAACCATTGACCACATGAGTCATATCCAGAAATTATTGAGTTCCAGGACACCAGATCTCTAAATTTCATCCTCTTGAACAAGGTTACAGCATCTTCCATTTGTCCAATCCTCAAGTAGAAGCTCAAAAGAGCATTTACCACTGTAATCTGTGTTGCCAATTCGGCCCGTCTTAGCACATAGGAGTGGATCTGTCTCCCAACCCAATGACCAACAGTGTCTTCCAAATGAGCACAAAGAGGCAAAACATTTACAATTGTTGCATAATTTGGTGGAACTTTCAATCTCAGCATCCACTGAAACATTTCAAATGCGTCATCTACACTATGATTTTCCATCAAACCAGCAATAATTGCATTCCACGAAATAACATCTTTCTCAACAATCCCATCAAAAACAGCAAAAGCATCCATTACCAACCCCAACTTTGCATACATGGAGACCAGAGCATTCCCTACTAATGTATCAGAATCCAATCCAGCTTTTTTAGCATAGCAATGCACACATCCACCCAAACTCAAACCTCCATAACGCGTGCACACTGGAAGGATTATAGCAAGAGTTACAGTACTCAATTTAGGTTCCTGGGCAGCATGCATATCACAAAACAACCGCACTGCTTCAGTATCATGAACCCGAGTGCCGGCAAAACCAGACAAGATAATGTTCCACATGACTGTATCACAATTCTTTATTTCCCAGAACAGTTTCTCACAATCATCTAGAGCTTTACATTTAGCATACATGTTCAGTAAAGCTTTTGAAACAATCTGGCAAGAAACATAGCCTTGTTTAATAACATGGCTATGAAGAGCCTTCCCCAAGTTTACATCTGCTTTTGCAGCACAAGACTTGAGAGTATCTGCAAAAACTTGGTAATCAAGTTTAAAGCTTGACCAACATTTTAACTTATGGAAAAAGAGAGAAAATGCTTCTCTCATCTTCCCAACCACAATCCAACATCCCTTCAGTAATAAACACTACAAAACTCAACTCGGGCTTATCCCATTTAACATGGTCTAACATTAAATCATCAAAAGATAATCTTGAACAATAAGTTTATCTTAAACCGTAGTTTTCATAGGATAATACTACAAACAAAGATATCCCTATGGTACCCATCAGCCATAATGGAGACTCGTGAGTTCACAAGTAGTAAAAAACCAGCAATTTTGTCTGAGACATTTCATCAAACACATTATAGGCGTTTCCAAATATTAGCTGATTTAAAATGCCAAGCACAAATTACGGGAAAACATTTCGCATTGAGAAGATTCTGAGTGGTGGGTTTGTGAAGGAGAATCGAAATTGAGGCTAGGTGTAATTGGAAGAGGGCAGTATTGGTTCGCAGGGCAATGGCGAAACAGCAATCTGTTCGATGCTTTTGGGGTTAATTAACAATTATAGTCATTCGATGGTATTGACAATTCGGTACTTTAGGAACAGATTTATTTCATTTCAGCCCCAAATCAATAACACTGAACACCTAGTCCCGAGTTCGAGCCCTGGTCCAGCACGCGTAAAATTAAAGTTGTTTAGGGTTCTTATTCTTAGAGTAGCCATATTAAAACAGATTAATTTTAGCATTTTTATTTAACTTTCTATCCATTTCAACAAGGGATTGAATGGGGTCTTAGAGTCGAATCTCAAATTTTTTTATTTTTGGTAATTTTGTGTTTTCTAAGTAATTTTCTTATCAATTATTATGTTTTTTTTTATTAGACATCTTTACTAACTTATTGCCTATAAATATGTTTAGTCTAAGGCTATTGTAGTACATTCTTATAGTAGCCGAATTTAACGACTGGGTGTCGGTGCAGTTGCATTGCGTGCAATTTAGTTTGGTTAGTATGCATATTTAGACCTTGTTTGGATTGCTATTTTTAGGATTTTTTGGAGGAAAATATACTGTAGCGGTCTAATATATATAAGGTAAAAAGGTGATTGAAACATTTGTTCACGGAAAACATAAAAATTTTTTAACAGAAAATCACAATCCAAAAAGGGGAGAAAATTTTTTGATATACAGCCTCGTTATAATATTGTATTAAATATATATATATTAAGAATTTTATTCATGCATATTACTTTTCAATTATTACAATAATAAAATATAACTGTACATTGAATAATATAAATAAAATACAACCACCCGATTGAACTGCGCGAAATGAAAAATCCCACTAGCACCGTTCAACATTTAGCAGGGAAGAAATGACGTTTCTTTTTGGTGACTAAATTATACATGACTAATCATGAGGCAAATTGTTTAATTTTTTATGTTTAGGGTCCGAAGTGAAGTGTTAATTTATAGTATATAATGAATAAGGGAATTTAGTGTAATTAACTCTTTTTAAATTTTGTAGATACCCACACATACACGCATATAAAACAAGTTACAATACTGAAATTTAATGGACTAAATATTTAAAACCAAAAAAGAAAACGGTTTGTGATAGATATGCATGTGATATATATATATACCAAACAGATTTTTTTTAAAAAAAAAAAGACTTTTGCTCATATCCAATATAAACAAATTACCTAATCTTTTGATTATGAAATTAGAGAAGTTATCCCAATAGAATGTGTGTCAACTTTGTTTACCTCAAAGAAGAAAAAAAATGCATTTTATTTGAAAACTACAATAATTAACAAATATTGCATATTTTTTTCTTTTCAAAAATGTTAATGGCACTCCCTATGCAGAGAAAATAAGAGTAAAAAATAACCAAGAAATTAAAAAAAAAAAGAAATTCAAATAATCAAACATGAATGAATAAAAATAGTAAAAATAAAGAGATTTAAAAGTTGAAAATACACACCATGTATTTATTGCCATGAGCCTAAAAGAAAAAAAAAGTATTTATTGGCATGACGAGTATAGCAGGTTAACAATGCTTGTTCTTCTTCTGACCAAATGCTAAGAACTTGTTTGTATTGTTATCTTTTAGAGTTTTTGTAGAAAATATACTATAACGATTTGATATATATGAGGTAAAAATATGATTGAGAAATGTGTTTATAGAAAACGTAAATTTTTTGGAGGAAAATATCTTTCCAAACCAATATAATTAAAAGAGCATCCATGTCAGTCAGTCTCTTTTTTTATGCCAATATCGAATCAAAGGCGCCTATATGCAAACGCATTTATCTGAATAAAATTTTCCAGTTTATTTACTTACCAAAATAATAAGTTCAAACTTATGCAACCCACCCGATATGGATTAC